AAATGTTTTCAAGCCCATTATGGTGATGGATATATACAAACCTATTTATTTGCTAAAAATCATTAAATTGAAATTCTCAGATAGTTTTTTTTAGATATACCATGTAATTACCTATCAAAATAAATCATATCTTAATAAAATTTATTTTTTAAAGGTATACACTGATATCAGGCACAAAAATTGTTAATCTGTCATTACACTAGCAAATTAACTAATCTAAGTATCATTTTTCATTTGCCAAAATCAAAAATGCAAAATTTAATAATATTTTCCACATGTAAAACTACTTTTTACCACTTACACATCTCAATGGTTGACTCAAATAGAATGGAGACAAACTGGGTTTCAATTCCCAGCTTTATGATTACAGGTCAGCTACTTTCCTTTTGTAGGCCTCACTTTACTCTTCTGTAAAATGAGAATCAGAGTATCTACTTCATAAGATTGTTAACAATTAAATAGTAGGGACCCTCCCTGGTGGCACAACAGGTTAAAGCAGTGACACTATGAAGCCAGCCACAGCCACTTCAGTTGGGTTTGATCCCCAGCCAGGGAGCTGACCCATATATGGCTCAGCAGAACTCTCCTGTCTTGCCCACAGCTCCCCTCAGCCATAAATTTCAGCTGTGAATTTCTGCTCCCCATTCTGTTTTTGGTGAATCCTCTCATACCTCCATACCTCTAGCCTACCCCACTTCTTGTATGCATAAATAAAATTTAAAAAATTTTTTAAATGAGAGAAACATTCTACTGTTGTGGAATACTTCTTCTTTTTCAGTTATCATATACACTGGATCTTCCTTCAAGGCTGGTTCAGGCCTTCCCTGGTGGCGCAGTGATAAAGCACAGCACTGAGAAGCTAAAGCCATTTTAGCATGAGCTCAATTCCTGCCCAGGGAGGAGACCCACATGGCATGGCAGACCTCTCCTGACCTGCCCACTGCTCCCCTCAGCAGAGTACTTTGTCAGCCAACCTGTTCTACTCTGCATTCTGTCTCTTCTCACTGCCCCTGCACCTCTGGCCTGTACCCCAGTTCTGTATACATAAATAAATAAATCTTAAAAAAAAAAAAAAAAGCTGGTTCAAACACACTGCAGTTCAAAGTTTCCATTATCTCTATCCCAGCACTCTGTTTACAACTGTTGTGCTGATTAGTGCTTGTTAAAAACGCAGGAAAACTCTGTTACCCTTAAGCTTCTAGGAATCAGCAGCCTGAACAAGCCCATTGCATTTGACCTATGGGATTGTATAAAAATATTTGTTTCACTTTCCCAAACATGTCACCAAGATTTTCCCTAGTAAGCTAATTCTGTTAAGCATAAGTAGCCAAGAACTACTGAGTTCTACTTTCAGGAACAACTGACAAACAGGTACAATTTTATTACAAAATTATGAAAAGCGTTGAACTACCAGCTAGCTGTTTTTTGTTTTTTGAAAATATTTGAGCATGTAGTCAAATTTCTTCCTCCTTAAAATCTTCTAGCTACAGCTTCATGTTTTCTTCTTATCCTCATACATTTATCAGGTAAACTCTTATTTAGTAAGGTCAAGTTAAGGCACCTTCAAATGAACAATATACACTGGTTTGTATTATTCAATTCATTGCAGTGTACTGTTCTCCTACACAAGTGTCTCATTTTTACCTAAAAACATTCTCAGTTTGGACAGCAAGAACAGACTTTTCAAAGACTTATCAGTGCCAATGATGTTGATATTTCCTTTCCAACCCCTACCTCCACCCCAGCCCAAAGGAATTCTTCCAAGTTAATTTGAAAGAGTATGAATTAATATAAGGGAAATGACTAAGGTGGTGACAGAGGTTAAAGATGTCAGTTTCCTCAGAGAACTACATTTATAACCACAGACCATAACAAAAAACAAGAAATATATTCTAATTTGGTGTCTTTACACACTGACTGAATAAGGAAAACAAACCAATATAGGGTCATAGAACATAATTATTTTGAAAGACACACCTTTTAACTTAAAAAGCTAAAAATTCCAACAGAATTTTTATGCGATTTAGCAAACTAACTCTAAAATTAACTCAACTTTCTTTCCCCATTTTCTTGGGGGAAGGCTATCAGCAGATATCAATCTAAAATTATACTAATGAAAGTAACATAACTGACAGTGTACAAAAACAGTTAAATGGAACAGAACACATTATAAGTGAAAAAATGATGCCTGTGCATATGGCCATTTAGTATATAACAAAGGTGGTAGGTGTAGTGTGTAAGTCATAAATAAAAACACACAAATAGTGAAAGATCAAGATCACCATTTGTGGAAGGGAGAAGCTGTCACATCCCTCTACCTCACATCCTATTACAATAGATTTCATGTGGACTGACGGGTGAAACATAAAGAGAATATCTCAGGGGTAAAGAAAATTTGCCTAAACAGAAACAAACAGAAAAAAGAAGAAGAAGAAGAAGAAAGGTTGATAATTTCTTTTTACATAAGTATTTAACATTTTTACTATAGTTTTACTGCTTCCCAAATGAGAATATTCATTGCAATCAAGTTTGTAATAGCAAAATACTGTAAGAGCCAGTTGTCCATTAACAAACATTGATAAAATAAGGTACCATCCATCATGTGGGAAAATAATGTCAAGCTAGTGGATCAACACACAAATATTTATAATGAATGGAAACAATTTACAAAAAAGGTTTTTATACACGATCTTTACAAAAAGATAGGTTTGTATGTATGTACATCATTCTCTTGTTTAATCCTTTGCCTAAAAAACTACTCTTTTTGCTTGGCAGTAGATGGTAAATGAATACATGGTGGTGAGTGTGGTGTGTTACATACACTGAAGTAAGAAACTGCAACTGAAACCTAGATGGTGCTGTAAATCTTTTAAAAAAGAAAAGAAAAGAAAAGAATTGATATACCATGTCCATAGGTTGAAAAGCTTAATATTATTATACTGCCAATTCTCCCAAACTTCATCCATAAATTCAAAACAATCTCAACAAAAATTGAAGCAGGCTTTTTTTGGATGGGAATTGACAGAATAATTTGAAGATATATGTGGAAAAATAAAGTAGAAAATGAGGATAGAGACTTTCATTATTTATTTTATATATTTTTTTCTAATTAGGTGTTGTTGTTTTTTAATAATTGACATGCTTTAACTTTTCAGTTAAGAAATATATAGCTAGCAAGCAAACAAGGAAGAAGAGCCTCAAGTTAGGTAAGATGCTAATAAGGATGACACTACTGGATATACTCCCCTATGTCAATGAACAAAGTTTGCTATACTCATAGTCACAAACTGAAGAACTATAAACTTTGCCAACTGCTTCAAACATTTAGATACTGATTATAAAACAGTAAGACCGGCATACATCATCACAAGCATTCAACTTCATTAGTGAAAGTCCAACTGATTTGATTCAAAGTACAGGTCCATTACTAACTAGGCATGTGAAAGCCTTACAAACTAACATATAGTTTTTTTGTTGGAGATAAAAACTTAATACATATATATGCATTCTGAATCTCCCTATTCAAAACATCACTAAGCTCATCAAGATCAATTAAGTGCATTATATGTAATAATGGTATCATTTTGTGTATATTTTTAAGCTATGTAGACATATGTAGGAATATTAAGCCATAATGTAAAATGTAGTTCTCACATCAAAGTCACTGGACCGCAGCATACCAGTGAGCCACTTAGAACTCTATCTTCTGTGTCCACCTCACCACATCAAGCCTGGGATCTTTCCTCTACAAAGGCTGCACAGTAAACACAGTTTCAAACCTTAACATATACAGAAATATCCTGCTTTAAAATAAATTCAAAACACTTTCTTCTCCTAAAATACTTTCTTCTATTATCTTTAGATTAAATCCATATAATTAATACATTTTTAATTGGGAACAAGCAGTCCTCTTTCAATCTTTTTTCCTCCCTAGCTAAAGCTCACCTTGATTTTAAGATACCTTAAACCAAATTCTCACCTTTTGTAGATTTATAAATTAACTTATTCTATCATTGCAATAGGTAGTACAGGTAAGAAATTATAATGCCCAGACCAAAATAAGAATCAATTTCATTGTAGATACTATGCTTCTAAAATGAAAGTATGATACATTATATATAATAATAAATCTATTTAACATAGGTATTTGGGATTAGACTGTCAATATGTAAATCAACGTTATTAGGCATATTTCAAACCTACCAGTTCTCACAATATTTTTCCCAATACACTGAGTCTTTCTAACACACCATTTCTCCTACATAGTACTCTATATTCCCAATAACCTGTTCACAAATGAAGTAAATTATTAAGTCCTAAGAAACCCTAGGTTCTTGCTATAAAAAAAAAAAAAAAAGGGGGGGGGGAAGGAATAGAATTAACTTAGACTCTATTCTCAATATCTCATGGATGTTTTTTACATTCTAGAAACAGTAATTTACACATATTATAAAGTTCTATGAAGCCTATTTAGAAATTCTTAAAACCTAGATTTCATATGAGGAAATCTAGATCTAGAGAAGTTAAGTAACTTCCTCAGAGTCACATGCTTTGGACTGAAATAATGTATGACTATGCTATGGGGCTGCTGACATGTTTTTGTATGAATAGCTTAAGGCTATAAATATTAGACAACACATTAAAACTGTATAATAACAACTATTATAATAAATCCTATAATTAATTAAAAAAATTCAAAAGTCTTATTAGTATGGTCTCTAGATCTTTGAAATAATTACTTAAGGAATTTACTATTACATCTCATCTTGCAGAAAAACAAGCTTAATTCCAAAAATATTGCTTCTTTGTTACCACATCAATGTGAGAGACAAGAGTCTTTCTTAATGAAAGAATGAAGTCATAAGATCCTATTACCTATACAAATTTTTAATACCTTAAGTTTTACATTTAATAGTTCCTGTTGAGTAAATAATTTTATGAAACAAATAGAAGTTATAATAATAAATTTATTAAAATACAATTTTCTTTGGATCTCATACCTGTTGTTCATCCTCCATGACGTTACTAGCAAATTCAAATACTAGGTCGTTCTGTTGGACAACAGCAGCCATAATAAAGCATTCCTCCTAGAGCCACATGAGAAAAATTCCCAACAGGTCCAAGTATCAGGCAATAGAGTCCAGTGACCAGCTGAATAAAAAAGTCCTCAGTGAAGTTACTTATAACCAGGTTTTCTTTAGGGAAGGTGCTTGAAATTTTCTTAGTTCACTAGGATAATTCTGAGGCACTATTTTCTGAAAGTTTTCTTCTCTAGAACTTCTTGGCCTGAAAAACAAAAGTTTAGGTTTGTAGTGAGAAAGTAATCATACAAAGTTATTTTTTATGAAAAAGTAATCATAACAGTCTGATACAAAGGACAGTACTCTTTCTGTTAATATTTTTAAACATCACAAGACTGAGGAACGCAGGCTGGTTTTTTAAAGTTAGAGGTTTTATATGTATATAAAACATATAAATATACATATTCCATTCCTGTTAAGATCACTTCTAATTACTGAAAATGAAGTCCCTCTGCTGCCCACACCTCTCCCAGTTAAAGTACTGGGAGAAGGGGGAAAGTCACCAGCAATAAGTAGGTTTGTAACCACAATAAAAGTATAAAAATAAGTTCCTTCTTTCCATTAACACAGCAAGTCACATACATGGGAACTGCTAGTCCATGAGTAATTTCATAATGTATGTTCTTGCCTTAATAGAAATATTCAGACATTTTCCCTATTAGGCCCAATATATGTAAGAATTTAAAATGTAATATATCTAAAGTTTACTATATACTGTTTTAAGAGTTTTGGAAATAAACAGAAATTAAGAACTATTCTTTCTGTTCTTTCAAAAGGTTTCTGATAAGTAGAATCCTTTACCAAGCTTCAGTCTGTCTTCAGAGGCTTCTTTTTTAATGCACTGAAATGTATCCTTATCTCTAACACAAGCTTGCAAGCAACAGGAAGGAAACAGCACTTGACCACGTCATGGCAAATTAGAACATGCAAAAACTGCACTTTACAATAGAAAAACAGAAACTCTACTTATGAGAGAAAACAATTTCACAGCCGAGGGATGAATGCTTTAAAAAGTGCCTCCCAGGGATGCTTTTATTTTATTTTTTGTTTGTTTGTTTGTTTAAGTTACCACTATTAACAAAAGTAAGTGGAAAATTTTAAGAGTTTATCACAATTTTATTAAATACTGCCTTTTTACAGTTATGGCCAGAAATGTAACATGATTAGACAAAGATATTTTAAAATTCTCATTAATAACATCTAGTTCTTTGAAATACAACTTTACAGAAACAAGCTTAGAAATAAACTGAGCTGGCAAATCAGTCTCCCTGAAAACTTAACTCCAGTTAGTATATGCTAGTCATACCACATGTTAGAGTTCCTAATTTCAGCAAAACCAATTCCTATATATTCTGGATTCTAGGGGTCAGGGATGACCAATTTCCCTAACTGTAAATCAAAATAAAATAATGGTTAAGAATCCAATCCAGGCAATATTTCAACTCACTAAAATAAATTCTAATCCAGCAGTTTTCCCATGCACATCCAACCCCACCCCTTTTAATAACAGTTAAGACCAACATTGGGAAAGTCTTTTAACATATTCAGGTAATTTGTGAACAATATACCATATTCAGTGGGGTAAAAAGTGCTGTATCTAAATTGATCAGATATATATAAACAGAAGACATATATTTGGTCTTGGAAAAATAATACCTGTAATCTTTTTCTTCAAATACATTCCCTAGCCCCATTTTTCTATCTATACTATACCTGCCTTCTTAAGGTTCTCCACATAATCTATATTTATTCCTGCCTCCCTTCTCGATTCTTATTACTCAGTATTTCCAGAATCTTCTCCCACTTCTCAACACTGCTTTAAAACTTTTTCATTCTTCCATTCTAAACTTAAGTCTGATTTCTTTTACAAAGCCTCACAACCCCTATGCTTTGACTGTTAATAATTTTTCCCTTCAAAAAATACAGCATTTGGGGCCCTCCCTGGTGGTGCAGCGGGTTAAAGCACTGCACTGAGAAGCTAAAGCCACTTCCGCATGAGTTCGAATCCCGCCTGCCCCGGAGGTGACCACATGGCGTGGCAGACCTCTCCTGACCCGCCCGCTGCTCCCCTCAGCAGTGTACTTCGTTGATCTGCCTGTTCTGCTCCCCACTCTGTCTCTGGTGAAGTCTCTCACTGTCCCTGAGTCTCTGGCCTGTACCCCAGTTCTGTATGTACAAATAAATAAATCTTAAAAAAAAAAAAAATACAGCATTTGTTGCCCAAACTGACAAGTTAGAACAAACAACCACCATATGAAAATTATTCACCCCCAGCCCAATTCAACTGAATGTATGAGTGCTTATTATTTGCAAAGCAATGTGCCAGGCACCAAGATAATTAGAGCAATAGTTTCTGGGTTAAGTAACCACTGTCTAAAATTTCTTCTGTGTGTACTAAATCTGTGTCCCCAAAGTAGTAATAAAAATGACTATCTTAATGACAGATATTGCTTTTTAAAGGTTACTAAATATGTAAGTTATTTCTAATTATATTTATTTTTTTTAAAAATTACGGTACTGGGCCCTCCCTGGTGGCGCAGCGGGTTAAAGCACTGCACTGAGAAGCTAAAGCCACTTCCGCATGAGTTCGATTCCCGATTCCCGCCTGCCCCGGAGGTGACCACATGGCATGGCAGACCTCTCCAGACCCGCACGCTGCTCCCCTCAGCAGTGTACTTTGATCATCTGCCTGTTCTGCTCCCCACTCTGTCTCTGGTGAATCCTATCACTCTCCACATCTCTGGCCTGTACCCCAGTTCTCTATGAATAAATAAATAAATCTTAAAAAAAATTACAGTACTTTTGGTAAAGAGGTTATAGTTTTCCTAAACTTGAAATTCACAGCAAAGAAACATAGCCAGATTTAAGGGATGTTTCCTGATGCAAAATTTTCTCTGTATTAAGCTAGATTACAGGATTTCCAAAATCCATTTGTTCCTAAATACAAAGTGACACTGTAACAAAAATGTCAATATGAATACATCTATGTAAAGTTGTTTCACTTTCTTTTCTGTTGCAATTATGTACTTTTTTATTAGCACTTCCACCTCTTTTGCTTTAGTAGTTTTTCAAAGATCACAAAAAAATAGGGACAAGCAATTAGCCTGCCCACACCTTATACACTACTGACATTTTTTGACAAGGAACCAAAAATTAGTGATTACATGACCACCGGCTCTTTAAGGCAGGAACACCTTTAAGAGGGTGGGAGTTTGCTTTTATTCATTTCCTTTCAAAAGATCATAAACTGAAATTTAAAAGATAAGCTTTTGCATTCTTATACTGTCTTAAATACACCTCTGATCCTTTATCTTCTTGCACTCTTTCCCACACCTCTTCTACGAAGACTTAAGGAGTATATAATAACCAAGGTGGTTCTTGGGAAGAAATTTTCTGATTCTTGATTCAGCACTATCATAACAGAAGTGTTACATAACAAAGATACAGTGTATTACACTTTTTTGGGTAAAAATGGCACTAAACATCTTGATCACTGGGCACTGAGTCCCTGTGCCCAAGTTCTCAAGTCTGAGAGCATTAATGAAGAACAACTAGAATTCCCACTTCTAAATTAGGACTCGGTGACTACAATGCACAGGCTCATTTCTAAATGTACCCAGCCAAACCATTCATTCTAAAACAAAGTTCTAAGTGAATATATAAATCAAACTGGGGGGAAAGAAACTTTCATCTCTAATTCAGCTCTTTATAAAAATTATTTTATTTATTTATGCATGTAAGAACTGGGATGTAGGCCGGAGGGCGCGCAGATGAGGGGATAAGTGGATTCACCAGAGATAGAGTGGGGAGCAGAACAGCCAGGTCTACTGAAATATACTGCTGAGGGGAGCAGGAGGTAAGACAAAGAGGTCTGCTGTGCCATATGAGTTAGCTCTCTGGCTGGGAATCTGAACTCAGGCCTCAAGATGGTAACAGAGCTGAGACTTAACCCCTGTGCCACCAGGGAGGCCCCTATCATTTAATCTTTATAAAAGAACAAGGAATAATTTAAGTGAAATTTAAGTGAACACAAAGACTTACTTATTTGAAGAGGTTGTCTTGTTGGATATACCCCAAATTATAAAATTTCCTAAACTGGTTCTCATGTCTTTCAACTGGGTTAGGTCCATGTTCTTATTCTTCAAGGACCTAACCGCTTATCATCAAAATAAGCTTCAGATTTAAGGCAAAATAATAAATCAAACAAAACAGTTAAGAGTACAGCTTCTATAGTCAGATTACTAGGGTTTCAATCTTGCATGTAACTCTAGACAAGTAACTAAGTGTTAATTTCTATAAAGTATATTAAACCAGTTTCCCCATTCTGTAAAAATGGGTATAAATTATACCAAAATGTACAGTAATTGTGAACATGCATAATGTATGCAAAGAATGCCTGGGACATACATTTTACTGAATAAATATTAGCTTCATTTAATCTAAGGATAGCATAAAAGATATGTAACAGGTGCATACCAGGTAACTAATTATTCCTTAAGCTTCATTTCCTATTTCCCAGGAGTGTCTCTTATCACAGCTATTTACCAGACTCCAACAAAGAACAATTATTAACAAAAGTATAATTCTATTCTAGTATCTAAAAATTTAGCACCTATTTGATAAAGCCAACTGCCTCAAGGCAGGGCTCGCACCCTGTCTGGTAAACTTCCCTTGACACAGAGTTCCATTATGCCCCTGTTCTAAACAGAGAGATTTTATAGATTAGAAATACAAAACCTTATGCCTCATTACTGGCTACTAAACTTAACTCAAAACAGTCAAATTTTATTCAAATTTTTAGAAAAGGTTCAGTATTTATAAAACCTTGAGTCAAAAAATCACTTTTTACTATTTCTAACACTTGTGTCTTACAAGTGATCAAAATTACATTTAAGGCCCTCCCTGGGGTGGCGCAGCAGGTTAAAGCACTGCACTGAGAAGCTAAAGCCACTTCCGCATGAGTTCGATTCCCGCCTGCCCCGGAGGTGACCACATGGCGTGGCAGACCTTTCCTGGCCCGCTCACTGCTCCCCTCAGCAGTGTACCCCTCAGATCTGCCTGTTCTGCTCCCCACTCTGTCTCTGGTGAAGCCTCTCATCGCCCCTGAGCCTCTGGCCTGTACCCCAGTTCTGTATGTACAAATAAAATAAATCTTTAAAAAAAAATTACATTTAGGTATCCTTCAAAAGGGTTGTAGCCACAAGG